TGTGTGTGTGTGTGTGTGTGTGTGTGTGTGTGTGTGTGTGTCTGCAAAACAATAATTAAAGAAGAGGTCATGAATTTGAAACTGAATTGGAGGACATGGAAGGAGTTGGAGGGGGAGGGAATGGTGGAGATGGTATAAATACAGATTTCTTATATAAAATTCTCAAAATAAGTGTGGAGAGACATAAGGAATAAAGGGGACAAGATTTCATTGTCACAGGGAGATCACCAGTGATGACCACTCAGGCACAGTGTATAGCCAATTGAAAATCTTTATTCCACCTGGTTGGGACCATATACAAGTGCTCAGGAACCTAGGTGTGGCCTCAAGCAGACAGAGTATTTTTTTAAGACCAGAGACCTCACCCAGGCATCTCCCTACAAAGCTGCAGGGCATGCTTCCCATAATAAGCCATTTTAACAGAAGCCAAACTAAGCTGTTAGCCAACTGACGTGTGAGGGTTCCTCACAAGCAGGCATTTAAGATAAGGGGTTAGCTGGAGGAGATTATTCACAAACAGTTTCAACAAAGGCCACGTTAAGTTAAGTTAGCTAGGGTATTCTGACCTTCAGTTCCTAGAGTAGAGTTGGGTGGTTTGCCATGGGATTCTCCATCAAAGAGATCAGATTCTAGTTAAACCCAGAAACAGCCTCAGCAAGAAAACAAGATATAGAAACCTATGCACTGGCTCGACCCATTTTAACATGAAGATCATGAGTATAGAAGGCAGAAAATGAATGATATTATGTAATAAATAACAATGAACTTCATGTCTTATTTGATGCTGAAAACATGAATTACTGCCACCTGCTGGAAGTCAGCAGAAGCCAGGGAGCAAAGACTTGATTTCAGATACCGTGCCTCCAAAAGTATGAGAACCTTAAGGAAACATACATATGAAGTCCTTCCAGGCTCATCCTCCTATCTAGGGTTTGTCTTATGCCATACAGAAGTCTGCACCTTAGATTGGCCATTCTTCTATAAAGGCTAGAGCCCTCATCCAAGAGTCAACTATTATGGCAATGTATGTATGCATGCATGTATGTATGTATGTATGTATGTATGTATGTATGTATGTATGTATGTATGTGTCTATGTATTTGCTAAATCTACCAGGGACAGCAACAATATGTCATTTATCTTTGGACCCATAGGACCAGGTACTGTTAATCTCTTGAGCAAAAATCAAACCTCTCTGCCTCTCTTTGTGGCCTAGGATATGGTAATTTTGTCATTGGGAAAAGCTTCATTCACTTTTGTATAGAGCCTAATTCAGATCTTTGTTTCAAATTAAATGAACTGTGGAGTGAGTGCTATGCCATAAATAGGACATCCACATCAAATTGCAGAAGATGAAACGAAAAACTGTACGAGTTTGAGGTAGTGAACAACTGCAGTGAAAAGTAATTTGCCTGGCATGACAGGGCCATCACACATATGCACTCATAGTGGTTGGGACTGCATGCACAAGACCCATATAAGATCACCATATCCAACAAATGGACTTTGGGAGCCCATTCCATATGGAGGGATGTTCTCTCAGCCTGGACACATGGGGGAGGACCTAGACCCTGCCTGGGATGATATGACAGACTTTGGAGATTCCCCCATGGAGGGCCTCAACCTCCCTGGGGAGCGAAGAGGGGTTGGGGGGGGGGTTTTCGGGGGTGGGTGGGGGTGGGGGAGGAGGGGAGGGAAAGGGAGCTGGGATTGACATATGAAACAAGCTTGTTTACTAATTTAAATAAAATTTTAAAAATGGGGTATGTATATAAACACAGAATTTTCAAAAGAGACATTGAAATGACTGAGAAACACTTTAAGAAATGTTCAACATTCTTAGTTATCAGGAAAATTCAAATCAAAACTACTCTAAGATTTCATCTTATACCCATAAGAATGGTAAGGCCAACAAAACAAGTGGTGGTTCATGCTGGCGAGGATGTGGAGCAAGTGGAGAATTCATCCATTGCTAATGGAAGTGCAAACTTGTCCATGGAAATCCGTATGGTGGTTCCTCAGAAAGATCAGAATCAATCTACAGCAAGATCCAGCTGTACCACTCTTGGCCAACATGACTTTCTTAACTCAAGCTCCAGGCAGTCCTGGCTGGTGGTGGCGGTGGTGTTACTAACAAGGAGATAGCTAGAAAAAGCAAGAGGGGGCAGCTATAGGGGTTCCTGGACTGACTCATTGATCACCTACCTCATGAATATTTAGTTTCTAGGCTACCAAGAGCAGAAACTGATAGGAATGAAGAGAGTCTATATGGGAGTAATCTAATAAACACAAGCTGGAGATGCTGTCGCTGCTGTCACTGAGTCAGTTGCAAGCTCAGACTTGAGTCAAACTGTAGAAGAATGGTGCAATGGAAGCTGTAGATGTGGAGGGTAGATGAACAAACACAAACAAAAAGATCATGCTATCCGAATCCTCAGCATGGACTGTGAAGACACGTACAAAGCTCCACCCCAGCAGAGATGTTATGGACAGTTGATGGCTGCTGGAGGAGAAAGGGCCTTTATTGAGGATTGTATAAATATGTGTTTACTGATAGTTACTTGGGACTGGATAACCATTTAGGAGGCTGATCCTGGGAGAAGACTGATTCTCCCTCTCTCAATTCTCATAAACTACCTGTAGCTCTTCATCTATGTATGTGACTCATAGGATTTTCCCCATCCACATTGGATGGTCAACTGGTCTTGTCATTGTACTGGTCTTTTTAGGCACCCTATATATATATAATCCCTGGGAAGAAGAAGCTGTGTCCACAGACAGATTGGCAGAGAGAATTTTAATACTATGGAGAGATTAAAATGATATAAGTATATAAAGGCTAATTATTTATCTTGGGCTAATTCTAGCCCTCTGGAATACCCTTGCCCACTTCTGTGTCTAAACCAATATTTTCTGACTAATAGATAAAACATTTTAGAATCTATTAACTTATATGAACACTAGCTTCTACCAACCCAAAAGCTAATAATGTCATCTGATAGTATGTTGGGCCTATAGAGAAGCTTCCTTCCCTCATTGTGTTTTACCTGCCTCTCTGGTGTACCCACCAATGTAGTTTAAATCTGCCTTTATTCATGACTTCCTTTGTTCTGTAAAACTGTACAACTTCATGAAACGGCTTCCACATTGGGACACAGAATTGGTAGTAACCAAATTTCTGTTCCCTGCCCATGACCATTCAAAATGACTTCAGAATAAAGTATATGTGTAATATATATTATATGTGTAATATTATATATAATATATTATTCCTTCTAAAGGTTAAAATAAGCTGTAAATTTTAGATTGGCATAGCAAAGACAGTATGTCATAGTAGATATCCTATTTCTCTAGTTCTTAAAATCTTTCTAACCCCTCTTCTTATATGTTCCCCAATATTCATAAAATTTCTATCAAAAATGTAGTAAATGTAATGAAATAATCATTAATTTGACTAGCTAGGTTGATTTCACTAAATTAAAAATCTTAAAGAAATTTAACTGCATTGCATGGACATCCAACTCAGATTTCAATCAAGCAAATTTTATAATACATAAATTTTGTTTCTGAATAGAAAGCTTACAAATTCAAAGAAATAACTTGAAGTCTTAGGAGTTCAAAAATATTCAGGGATTTTAAGGGAATAAATGAGGCTTTCAATTTAGTATTCCTACTAACCACAGAATCCATGCTTTTGATGTTTAATATCAGGGATTAAGCCTGAACTCAGTGGAGAGAAACTGCCTCCTTTGCCATATATTAGTGTTGAACAGAGAGGACATGAACTTGTCACCCACTCTTGTGACAAATGAACTAAATAATAAAACATTATCTGGTCATGAAATTGCAACAAATATAAAGAATCTGGAACCTTCATATCAGAAAGTTTGTCATTTATAGGCGCTATTCCTACCACAACACAGTGGAATCTTCTGCTCTTTAGCCTCTTCCCAGTGGCTATGGAAAACACTCCAACAGAAAAGTTATGGGAAAAGCCAAAAGAAGATTAAATCTGAACAGTCATTGCAAACAGCATCTAATACAAGCAAGCACATTCTGTCTAACTACTATGTACATAACCTCTTTGCAGGAACAATTCCTATTTCCATGTATTAGACTTTTAAGTATGTATAACTGCTCTAGAATATATTTATGAATGATCTGGGATAACTACCTGTTGTAATGAATGGCATTTGCTTATTAATCCCATTGTCTTTATCCTATGATCTGGTATATTTCCCTGTAATTCCTTGACTGGGAATGGTCACAATTCAAAGCATTTTAAAGCAATGATTTGTGTTATGAATTGGGATAGAACTAATGAGAAAGTTAACTTACACATAACACATGAAAAATCAGAGTTGATAATCAACAACAGTGAGAAAATTACTTACGGAGAGAAACTCTAAACATTTTTCAGGTGCATGAAATCGGTCTCAGGATGGATGCTGTTACCTAAACATCTACTCTCATTTACAGCTGTAGACTTTATGATTTTTATTGCTGATTTCACAGGCATAAAAAAAGCTTAAAGGGTCCTGGGGATGTAAGTCAGTGCTAGAACACTTTGCTAGCATGAGTGGATCCTCCAAGTTCCATCCTTGGCACCACAAAGTAAACAAATCAAACCAAAACAAAAATTTGAGCAATCTCTGATGGCACTTCTGTAGGGTTTCATTCACCTAGTGCAGCAGAAGTCACTGGGACATTGGTTAGGAACAGTGTTTGGCAGATTGTTAGTTACTACGAATAACTCTCAGAATGAAGATGCACACTCGCACTGTCTCGAGCCTACACATTAAAAGATCTTCATGGTCCCCAAGAACCAATTCTGGAATTCCTCAATGACACCTAATTAGCCTTTTTAGGAAGTGAATCACAGGGATAGCTTTCATCAATTAAAAAAAAAGAAGTCTCATGATAAATTCAGGAAGCATTGAACAGAGGAGATGAGTGCTTCTTAAAGACATTGATCTTTAAATAATAGGGTAGCTTCTTTCTCTCTTTACATTATTTTGACCCTCCCTTTCTATATGTAATTCTATAAGTTGATAGACTTTACATAAAAATTCACTTCTAGAATAAAATCCTATTGACGTGCTCTCCAGCAGAGAGCTCTAATCACTGGAAGAGAAGAAAATAGCCAGGGGGATACCAGTGTTCACATTTTAAATGGGAACTGCTGTTTGCATTTACATTTAGTACAGAATGAGGAGGGGGATTAAAAGGAACCTTTTCAAAAGATTTATTGGGACACAAAAGAAAAGCTAAAGGAAGGAAATAAAACCCAACATAGAAAAAAATTAAACAACCCAAGGCTAGGCTGGTGAAAGGCAAGGGTCATTTTGTTCAATTCCTTCAGTATATTCTAAAGTGAATCTATATACACAATGAAAGTTGACAATGCAGCTTTAAATACTCTTTCAGCCTAAGACAGCTTATCAAATAAGGAAGTATCTATTCATACAATACAATAATTTGTCAAAAATAGAGACAATTGTATAACTAGCATACACACACACACACACACACACACACACACACACACACACAGAGCAGGTGAAGGAGACACATCAGCAGAAGAAAGGCTGTTCTAAAGATGTACACTTTCTCCTTCCTCACCTCAATTCCTCTGAAAGGGATAAACAGGGAGCTCCAGCCTTAGGGACACTCTCTTTGCATGCTTGCTTCTTTGTCTCAGGCAATTGTGCAGGGATCGCGTATCGATTATACATCATGCATTAGGCTAGTTGCTGGAGCTGGAGTAAATAATGAGAATAATACAGTTCCTCTCTTCAAGGAAATCATTATCCAGAGGTAAGAGAAATCTGTAGTGAAGCACACTAAATTCTCCCCTCTGAATATTATATGTTATAGAGGCACGTGGAATGCTGGGAATAGCTATAATCAGAAAACACATAAAGGGGCAGATAGAGTAAGATAAGGTAGACATGAAATTTAATATATTTTTAAATAGGAACTTGGGGAAGACACATGACTACCACTGCATCTCTGAGCTTTCTGCATACCTCACATTAAGACTCCACAGAGTTTTTGAGTCTTCAAACAGCTTTCCAAAATAAGCAGGTATATTTGTGGGACAACTCGAGTAGCCAAGATATCTGTCAGTCAGTGTCCACGTACTTCTTTCTCATTACCTGAAAGTACCATTTCAGACCATAAAATGGGAAGATTCATCTGAGATCTTAGGAAGACTGGAAGTCAAGGCAATGTAAGAGGTGGTATTAACAAATACATATTCAGAAGAAGTTGACAAGTAAAGTAGTTGAAAAGTATATTTTAGTTATAGTCCCATTCAGAATATTTAAATGTATTGCAGCTTAGGACAATGAGTCATAAGAAGGATGTCTATGGTGAAAAGATTGCCATAATAGCTATGTGTACCTGAAGAGAGGAGTGGGTAGTGATATACACACACTACAGGCTATACTGAAGCCACGAAAGGACCAGTTTCTGCCATCCCCAGGGGTTGTTGTGCACAGGAAGCTGCTTTGGTGGTAGGAACAACACCGACTACTTCTGAACTGGCACCACACTGCATTCTGAAGTTTGAATGGGCAGAGCAAATCATGGATAATCACTCTTCACCAGATATGGATCTTACAGAATGGAAGGGTAACTTGGACTACTCAAAGTTCTGAAGAGGAATGCCAGAGAGAACGACATGGAAGGCACTCAAACGCTAGCAGAGAGATCAAGGTGCAGACTCTGTAGCACATAAACTTAGGGCCAAGAGGAAACAGAAAGAGTGGTACACACATCAAGAGAAGCCCCACAGAGTGGGGTGCTCATAACTGGAAACTGTTCTTACTAATGCTTATCACAGCTTGAGGAGTGTGATGCCAGCATTTAACATTACAATCAACCTGTCCTCTTTCATCAGTCCTTGGCAACAGAAAACCAACACAGCAATAGAATCCCCAGGTTTGATCCACTGTATAAAGCTGAGTGTGATGGCACAAGCCTCTAATATCAGTAATCAGGAGATAGAGGTGGGACAATAGGAAGTTCAAGGACATCATTGGTGACATAGAGAGTTTAAAACCACATGAGACCTTGTTTAAATAATAGGAAAACAAATAGGGGGAGGAACAGGAACAAGAGGAGGAGGAAGAGGAGAGAAGGAGGGAAAGGGGAAAGAAGAAATAAAATATTATGCAAAGGAAGTGCTGGGAAAATTGTAAAAACTCAGGAACCATCACAACAGGATGACCACATGGCTTCTCAGAATTGCAACTGGAACATTGTCTGATTAACCCTTGGGATGAATTGTTACTTCATTTATTATCTCTGTAGATTAGGCCCAAACTTCAGAATATGACAATCATTCATACAGGATTATCTAGGAGTAAAACACAATCCCCAAATATACAGTTTTTAAAAAGTAATTAATTATGAATTTAGTTTCCTTTTCTTCAAGGACTATCAAACCAGTTTGATTACCCCACAGTTTTCCTCATTTCTTCAAACACAAACACACACACAAACACACACACACACACACACACACTCATACACACATGCACACATACTCATTCTCACACTTAAAAACTTTCCCTTGTTTCCTTGTTAAATATAATCTTTTCTTCATTGATCCTTATATAAACTTTGGGGTAAGTACTTCCTTTGAGATTGGGTCAAACTCTCTGGACTTAGCAAGCCTTGTACTCAGTATTTAGACAAAGTTAACTTCAAACTTATGTCAATCCTCTTGTCTCTGTCTCTTAGTGCTGTTATTTCAAAGCATGAGCAACCACACCCAAATATTTAATTTGTAGTTGCTGTATAAATTTACAAGACTTGTGATTTAAACTGATTGTAAAATACTTTGACAAATATATACCTTTTTCTTTCATTGACAATCACTAGCATGCAGCAGAACCTCAGCCAAGGAAGGAGAGAGTGTGTAATGATAATTTGGCTCAGAACACTCATCAGTGTGAGGTGACTTAGATATCTGAACTAATTCTGAAGAACTGTTAAGGATGTAAAGTGACTTGAAAGTTTCAATTGCTGGAAAGAGATCATTAGTGACATTTATCTATAACAAAATTACCTTTTTTTGATGTGATCAATGAATCCTCTCTGTGATAAACAAATTAAAAGTAAAGAGATGAGAGAGTAGTTTAGAAAGACAAAATCAAAACAAACCAGTTATTTTTGATAAATTTGTGAGGTCCAATCTTTTTGGCTATCAGTGCCAGAAGGTTTTTGCTTGTCCTCCTAGGAAGAAAACAGATGGACATGCATTTCCCTGTTCTCAGCATTCTTGGAAGGTCTGAGTTTTATTGTGAAGAAAATATTTTCCATAAATGATCATGGTTCCTTTTAAACAAATATACAAATAAATAAACTATAGACTGATATAGTGTGGATGACATAGAAGTAGAGAGATATATACAACTTCAGAAGCACAGCATAGGCTAGGAAACATTAGAGTAGATATTGTTGAAATACAAAAAGCAAGCTTTGAAAGTAATAATTTTCATCAGAATAATTGCATTTGAACTTAACTTTATCTAAATGATATCAATAATGCATTTCTGAGCAATTATAAAAGCAGATAGGATCTTATTATAGATTTTTTTCTCCTAGCAACAGTGAGATCAGCTACAATCAAAGTTGAAATGACCTATAAAACCTGGCACAGCTTACGCTATACAAGATGTTAACATTTTAATATACCCCACACAAATTCAAATGAAATAAAATGAAATGCAGAACTGCAAAGAAATACATGATAATTGTTTTTTTAAAAAACACCCTCCATTAAATATAACCTTTGAATATGATACAAAATAAGACAATACAATAATAGTTCCACAGAACACTTTCTCATAGGCATTTTACATTTCACAAAATGAAAGAGTAGAATCACAGGAACTAAGTCAGAAATTGAAGTCAGGGTTGGCAAGATGGCTCATCAGATAAAAGCACTGCCTACCAATAATGAAGACCTGAGTTTGATCCCTGGAACTCAGGGCAAAGGAGAGACCTGACTCCTACAAGTTTTCATCTGACTTCTACATGGCGTGTACATGAGCACACACTTGTTCACAAAACTAATACATAAAATATGAAAAGATAAAAGGAAGAAGGAAAATGATTTAAAAATAACACTAGGGTCAGAAATTTAGAGAAACATAACTCTATTTGTTTACCTGCAGTGAATCATAAGCCCCCTTTGCACTTGTGATTTACAAAGAACTTACATACTTAAAAATTCTGTACTGGTACTAGTGATTATTAACTTTTGCTTTTATCATTTGGGAAAAGAAGAGTCAGGACAATACTGTTGTGGAACAATCATTCTGTACACTGTGAAGATGTGTCTTTGCAAGGCACTTTGTGCTTGATTTAGTAAAGAGGTAAATGGCCAGTAGCTAGGCAGGAGATAAAGGTGGGACTTCCAGGCATAGAGAGACTCTGGGAAGAAGGGAGACAGAGAAGCCAGACACACAGAATGGGATAAAAGTAAAAGCTATGTGGTAGAAAATGGATCAGTAAAAATTGATTAATTTATGTTAAAGAGCTAGTGGGACAAGCCTAAGATATAGGCCAAGTTTTCATAATTTTTAAGAAGTCTCCATATCCTTATTTGGGAACTAGCCGGTGGGACAGCAAAAGACTCATTACACAACATGGCCCATCTTTCTGAAGATTGTAATCAGTTACAGAGAGAAGGCACAACATACTGTCTTTGAAAATGCTAATCAGATTAACTGAGGCTTTGAATTTGAGAAAGGAAGACTGGCATGGACTACTGGTGCAGTTTTCACTCATTTAGGGGCAGTGAAGTGAAAGTCTGGAAACACAGATCACTTCCAATGCCAGTAGCAACTGAAGGCAGCAGCTTCCTCCAACCACTAACTGTGGCCTTGGCTCTCTCAAAGCAGCAGCTCACAGGGAGATTCTCTGGGTCTAAAGCCAAAGGAGCACTTGAGAGTTCCAGGAAGAGGCTGCAAGAGGCCTTTCTCAGGAGAGAAGAGATGTCTTAGCTCTTAGAAGGGGCGTGAGTTCAGGTGTCATATAGGGCTACTCTCTGAACCTCCTGCTCCATGGTCTCTAAGGTCACCTGCACTCATACCCAAATACACATAATTTAAAACAATAAAAATAAATCTTTTTTTAAAAAATAAGAAAGCCTTGCTCCTTCTTTTTTGGCTTTGCTATGTCTCCTGAAGGCCACTTGTTTTAAGCAGTGGAGCATTAGGAGGGAAGTTCCATCATGCCATGAGATTGACATTGTTGAAAGTGCCATATTAACAGAAAACATAAAGAGGACATAGTCTAACTTGCTGACTACTACTTCACAGTTTGTAGGTTGTTTAATCAAAACAACAATCCCATTTAGTATATTTGATGACTACGTCTACTCTGATTGTCATTAGGACTTTCCCTCATGTTTTGTATTTTCCATCCTTAAATGCTACCTCCATAGAGACACAAAAGAAGATATTGTTAGGACCACAACACATCATAATTTTGAAAAAGATAGTTCATAAAACATAATTTGTTTGGGGTCTATGAATACAATTATGTACAAGTGTATGTTTCCTTTTAATATTGATTACCAAGGTTGTGAGATAAAATTCCAGACCTGCTTACATTATAGCACAGTAGAGACCCTATATTCTTAGAGTGGTAGGACACATTCATGTCACTATGTAGAGATTGTCATTTTTTACAATGACAGAAATGTGAATGTTCTCCTGGGGCTTCTTGTGTCTATTTGGGGAATTTGTTGAAAACAATTTACTCGGGTATCTTTCAGTTGTGGTGTGAAGAAATGCCTTTTAACTGTAATATAATTGATGGCATCTGGTAGCTGTGGCATCTGCACTTACTCAGGTGGAAGCTGACTCATTGGCAACTTTATTAATATAGTAACACAGCCTGGAATTTATCACTTTCTTTTGACCTTTTTTGATATCAAAACGGAGAAAGTGCTAGCTACTATCTGTGCATTTTCGTACATTATTGATTAGTTGTTCTTTCAGTGATTTGTGTAGCCATTCTCCCGAGATGCAAAGCCAACTTTTAGCAAGACTTTGGCTCCTCGAGCTCCCAGCATGCATTTGAGTAAGTGCACCCACTGACTCCCACAATGCTAAGCATCAGGCCTTCTTTATCAGCAGGGTTGTGCGATTGTTTGCCATTCTGCTTATTTTGTTTTTCAGGACAACAGAAAAGTGCCCGAGAAGTTACTTAGCAATAAATGACTTAGAGGTCCAAAGTTATGCCTTCTACTCATGAATAATCTCGCATCTTTTGCTTTGTTTTTCTTTTGATCTTTACTGCAGAGACTACAGAATATTTTCATATGCTGTACATTAATTTTATAAAAAATTCCTCATAAAATATATCTCTAGAATACAAAAATGTTTTCTTAAAATGTGAGTAGGTCCATGTTCATGTATGTCCTTCTGATGACCTTGCTTCTCTATTTCTTTTCTGGGTTCTGTTTAACTGGGTCAAGTTGGGTAAGATAGATTGCATACCACTTGGAAAACAGACCCTCTGTTTCCTTACCTGGAAGCTAAGGAGGTCAGCCTGGGTCATTTTGGATGAAGTTTCAGGTCTCAAGTCCCGTGTTCAGAAGCAGAGAAAGCTTAATTCTGGCTTGCAAAGTAACAACCTTCTATTCAAAAAAATAAAAAGTAAAAAACAAAAAACAAAAAAAACCCACTTGGTGGTTTTTTTGTTTGTTTGTTTGTTTTGTTTTGTTTTGTTTGAAAAGAAGGTTGTTACTTTGCAAGCAATAATTGATTTTCTTTTCTTGGTAATTCAAAGTTCAAAACCAGGAAAGATGAGGCTGAAGTGATCACTCCACAGTCAAGAGCACTTTCTACTCTTCCAAAGAACCAAGATCAGTTCCCATATTCCACATCAGGTGGCTCACAAAGAGGTATATAATTCCAGCTCCAGTTCAAGGTTGGGCATCTAACATCCTCTTCTGGCCTCTGTGAGCCCTATACATGTGACCTACATGCATACAAACATATAAGGTTAAGAAAACAAAAACAGCAGAATTGTTTCTTTTAAAAGTTAATCTTATGACATTGTGACATACATCTAAGCACAAATTTAAATCTATATTAGTTCTACATATACATATGCCATTATTTGCATATGCGCATTGCTTAACCATCCATGCTACTAGCATATATGTTTTTTTCTAGATGTAAATCTATAGTCAGAAGTTAAAATTGAATGTATGCTAACCTAATAAATAATAGATGAATGTCAGACCTATATTTCATGTTACAGAATATAGTATCCAACCTGAGCCGAAAACCATTTCAAAAATGCTTTCTATTCAGAAATGATACAAATGCCTCCTCTTGTTCAGAGGGCCTACCATCTGATTATGAGTTATAAATTTGCAATAATTAGTGTCTAAGCTGCCTGCATGGAAATGTAAAACACAATCAGAATAACTAAGCAAAGCACATCAGCCATATTAATTTTCAGGGCTGCTAGGAACTATAAATTCAGAAGAAAGTAATCAATTCACTAAGAAAATAATGTTGATCTCTGAGTCTTATATCATATTCATGCCAGAATTTTCCATTGCCATCAGTCAGAAAGAGAAATATAGCATATGAGGCAGTGAAAACCATCAGCCAATATTAAATAGAGGCAATTTTTGCATATGGCTTTCTAGAAATATGTCATATACCAAGGTGGTAAATGGTGTTGAATAGTAAGCAAGAGATCACCACATTGCATAATTCCCAAATTGGGTAATGAAATGACTTACATCCCCCCATCCTCTTCTCTTTTCTCTTCATTCTTCCTTTTCTCATACTTAGAAAAATGAAGACTAATATTACATAAGTTAGTAAAACAGATCACTTCTTTCCTTTGTGTAATAGAATTGGAAACTTACTTGTTGTCTTAGCTTGCACTTCTGTTGCTGTGATAAAACACTGACCAAAGCATCTTGGAGAGGAAAGGGTTTATTACAGCTTATGGTGTACAGTCCACCATGATCAGAAGTCAGGTTAAGAATTCAGACAGCAATCAGGAAGCAGGTATCAAGGCAAAACCATGGAGGAGGGCTGCTCACTTGTTTGCTTTCCACAACTTGCTCAGCTTGCTTTTTTAAACAATCCAAGACAGCACTGGCTAGAGTGGGCCAAAAACAAAGCAAAACAAACATCCCATCTAAACATCTGGTATCTGCATCATTCCCCACATCCACTAAAGAGACCAACAGTGAACTGGATTATAGAGTTCATATTTTTTAAATCTAGACAAATACTGGGGCAGGTATGATGTACAAAAGAGTAGATAGCTTTGGGGAGGGACAGAACCCTTTTGTAGTAATGACTCCTAGCTTTCTCAGGGAGCTGCAAAAAAACCAGAACTAGACTCATCTAGCCATCCTCAATTGCCTGCCTTATGAGGGGATATTGCTAATAGCTTTCAAGGCATCCTTCTGCATACTCTTTAATATGCAACCTCATTTGTAGGTGTTTGGAGATGGTTTCCTTCCTAAAGCATGGGTAAATTTTGAAATAATTGAATTGAGCTTTAATAAAACAAAAGTAAGCTGACAGATAATTTTTTTAGACAGGGTTTCTCTGTGTATCCCTGGATGTCCTGGAATTCACTCTGTGGACCAGGCTGGCCTCAAACTCAAAATTCAACCAGCCTGTGCCTCATGAGTGCTGGAATTATAGGTGTGAACCACCACTGCATAGCTCGAGAGACACTCAATGATCAGTAAATTAAGACCCTTAAGGTATGTATGGCATGCATATTTATCAAAAGGAAGAAAAAATAAGGAATCATAAAGGAACATTTCTAGAAATGTGACGACATGATTTAAGAAGCTGGAAGAAGAAGACAGATAACGTGACATTTCAACTTAGTTCTATTATATAAAAGTCACTGCATACTCTTATAAACAATGCACAGTCCAAGTTTCCTTCACCTGAAGTCCAGTTAATCAAGGCTTAGCTTTGGATGAGCATGCGCTTGGCTGGAGTTTCATTAAGTAAATCTTTACCTATTTTCAATTTATACAGCACAATTTATATGGAAAGACTGACTAAAAAACATGTATTTCCCCATACAATGACCAGAATATATATACATATATTATATATAATATATTAATTTAATTTAACATATGATATAATATATAATTTAATATATATATATATAATTTAAGTAATAATAAGAAAGTCTTGACTAAAAACTAATGATTACCTGAGTAAGGATCATTCTTCAAAATATATCTGAGGAGACAACAGAGAGATTCTTCCTGTATCAAAGTTAATGATAATTATCCAGTCCATTAGTGAGTGGGATGCTTAGAAGCAATTAGGAAGTGTTGTCAATATATTTTGCCTTAAGAGCAAGGTATGTTTGAGTGGTCCCCCACTTCACCAATTGCCAATAATTTCTTCTCATTATCTTTGAAAACTACTGGTACAAGAATTAGTGTTAGAACCAAGGCTAGGGTTGCACTCTGGATTGGGAGAGTGCTGAGGAGCTTGCTATACTTTACATTGACTCAGAATATGCTAGCATGGCGAGGACATCTCCAAGTGAGTACCTTTCTCTACCTCAGAATCATCATAACCTAACTCATGACCTTCCCGCCACAGAAACCCTCTTCTCAACCTACATAAGAGCTCCATCATTATCTTGTCTTCCAATACAGAACTACTGTTGACTTTCTGCTCGCTCCTACAAATTGTGTATGAAAGTCTTGCTGACAATATGCATGAACATCTCTTAGTTACATTCTCACCACGTATCCCTTTGTTCTATGGCCTTTTTGCCCTTCTGATTCTGTCTGCTCTGCATCCAAAGCTGTTAAACAAGCCAAGTGGTAGGAACACACACCTTAAATCCCAGCACTTGGGAGGCAGAAGCAGGTGGATCTCTTTGAGTTCAAGGTGAGCCTGGTCTACAAAGTGAGTTCGAGGACAGCCACAAAACAACAACAACAACAAAGCAAAGCTATTAAACAAGCATTGTTAAAAAAAAATCTGTTATTATCCCTATGCTGGCAAACCTCCCAAACCACACTTCAGTCTCCCTTGGTTTCCTCTGACTGTCAAAGGGAGATACGATGTCTCACAATTCCCCATGCTTTCAGCCTACCCTTGGCTCAGAGTGAAGAATCTCAGCTTAGCACACTGTGCATGTGCTCTGAGGATATCTGAGCTTCAAATGAGGCCACTCTCCCCTTGAATGCTCCACCTGCTCTCCCCTGCCTTCTCTATCCACCTCATCTGCCGAGACTTAGGGTAATGCTCTTACCTTGTCAAGGTGCAGATGACATCAGGTTGTGTAAATGTGCTCTCCTAATTTTCAACACATTTACCAATAACTTTGTGTTCAGTAATCTTATTCTGGCTTTTTATGCTTTTCTCCTAATTCAACATTCACCTGCCTTTACAACTGTCCAGTTTAAAGTTAGAAAAAAATATTTCATTGACCACTATGAATACATAACAAGCAGAAGTGGGGCATCTACATAGCTCAGTGGGGAAAGGTGTTTGCTGCCAAAAATGAGTTCTGTCACTGGAACCCAAAAGATGAAAGGAAACAAACCAAAACAAATAAACCAAAAAAACCCTCGAAATAAAGTATGTGTATATGTATAAGGAAATGAGGGAAACTGTGGGTTAATCAAACTGGTTTGAAAATGCTTGAAGAAGAGGAAGCTAAATTTTTAAGTAATTACTTTTTAAAAACTGTCCTAGAACCTTTATCCAGTAGCTGATGGAAACGGAAGCAGATACCCATAGCGAAACACAGAACTGAACTGGAATCCAGTTGCAGAGAGGGAAGAGTGATGTGCAAAGTGGTCAAGACCAGGCTGGAGAAACCCACAGAAACAGCTGACATGAACAAGTGGGAGCACATGGTCCCCAGACTGATACCTGGGAAACCAGCATAGGACTGATCCAGCCCCCTGTGAACAGGGGCATCAGTGAGGAGGCCTCAGAAATCTATGGGGCTTCTTGTAGTAGATCAGTGCTTATCCCTAGCATAGGGATGGATTTTGGGAGCCCATTCCACATAGAGGGATACTCCCTCAGCCTACACACATGGGGGAGGGCTAGGCCCTATCCCAAAGGATATTTCAGACTATGAAGACCCCCTGTGGAAGGCCTCACCATCCCTGGGGAGCAGAAAGGGTCTGGGATAGGTAGGGTGTTAGTGGGGAGCAGGGAAGGAGGGGAGGAAGAGGGAACTGGGATTGACATGTAAAAGAACCTTGTTTCTAATTTAAATTAAAAAATGGAAAAATGTATCTTTGAGGATTACTTTTTACTCCTAGACAATCCCATATGAATGATTGTCATATTCTCAACTTTGGGCCTAATCTACAAAGATAATAAGTGAAGTCGCAATTCATCCTAAGGTTGAATCAGTCAAACAATGTTCCAGTTGCAATGCTGAGAGGCCATGTGATCATCCTGTTGTGATGGTTCCTGAGTTTTGACAATTTTGCCAGCACTGCCTATGCATAATATTTTATTTCTTCTTTTCCTTCCTCCTTCTCCTCCTCTTTCTCCTCCTGTTCCGGCCTCTCCCCCATCCCATTTGTTTACTATTATTTTAGACAAGGTCTCATGGAGTCTTAAACTCTCTGTGTCACCAATGATGTGCTTGCACTTCCTATTCTCCCACCTCTATCTCCTAATTAATGAGATTAGAGGCTTGTGCCGTCACCTTCATGCTGTGGAACACAAGTGTCTCACACACACAAATAAATATAAGGAACAATTTTTAAATGAGCCTGCAGTATCTCTAAAGCACCATCTGTTTTTCAGTGCTGGCCATGAACCTAAAGCCTCACCCATGGAGGTAAGTGCTCTACTCCCCTGCTGTAAACACAACACCAATAATCCACATTCTAATTAAATAAGATAACTACTGCAGTACATTTTATGATTAAAAATTAACACAAATTATGTATCCCATAGTGATTTGTATAACCACCAAACTTTTTAATATTCTGTGTGAAATGTTAAAGGCTTTGGGCGATTGAGTGAGAGGGCAATAACGAGAAGACAAAGACTATGTTGGAGCAATGGCTCTTTTTGCTGAAGTTGCATAGAGTGTCAGAGCTATGCCTTCAGTCTCAGGATGCAGCTGGGAATCTATAACAAGCCTTACTCTCAGCCAAAATTTTAATTTGCTTGTGCCTAAGGGCTAATGCATCTAATTCTCTTTTAGGTTTTATTCTCTGCTATTCTGCCCTTCTGCCTCCATATTCTGCCTCTAGCTTTAAATTTTATTTTCCTACAAATGTGTCCATTATTTTGCCCTCAATTTCTGTCTTCTGTATGCTTCACACTACAATTTGGACAGTCTTTCATTTGTGTTCTTGGGAAACTACTTTCCAAAGTTTAAAACATGTTTGTTTTAACTTTTGTCTAGAGTCAGAGTTTGAGAATAGTTTCTTGTCTCTTCAAGCACAGGGTAGAGATATGCCAGTGCCATGCCACCACTCATCTTTCTTTGGGTTCATTGGTATTCTGGAACCTTCTGGGAGTAACCAACAGGGAATTCAAATAAGCCTTAAGATGTGAGCGGCGGAATGCTTATTAAATGACTTCAGTTCTTTTCTTCCTTTCATTTCTGGATTTCCCCATCAGGAAGCATCTTTCCTCTGGGCTTTCCTCCTGGGCTCTCTTACCATTGGCATACAAGAGAACTGAAAACATGTCAGGTAGATAGCAGACCTTTGGAGGCCATGTGTATTCCCCCTCTGTATTCCTTCCAACCTATCAATACAGACAGCCCTTGGTGTGATACTCTATAAGACTTGGTTCAGCAACAATCATCCCTAAGCTGATGAACCAGCTTACAGTAAGTGTACAAAGGGTACCTGAAAGAATGACGAAGAATGTCCAGCTGCCACGTCCATAACAACATAAGTAGTGATTGTTTGAAGTCATCAAGATTTTGGTTGTTCATTCTGGTGTAGTATTTCAGCAAAAGCTGACAAATACATCGTGGATAGATATCCTTCCTGCTGGAAAGTCAGAGAGTCAAGTGTTCTGTGCAAAGTAAAGTCTTAAAGAAAGCTATAAGAAGAATTCAGTATTTAATAGGTGCCAAGCTCCGCTGAAAAATCTGTGGCCATATTTCAATCTCTTTTCAGGAACTTGGAAAAAGTCCCTGAGGACTGTGCTTCAATTCTGGTTAGTTTTTGACAATTTGATGTTAACTAGAGACACCATGAAGAGGGATTTTCTGTTAAGGAACTGCCTCCAATCAGACTGTTCCATAGACATGTCTGTGGGACATTTTCTTGACTAATGATAGATGTAAAAGGGCACAACCCACAGTGGGCGTGACCATCCTTGGGTGGATGGTTCTGTGTTGTATGAGAAAGCAAGTTTAGTGAGCAATGGATGGAGAGAGTGTCAGTAAGCTGCATTCTTCCTTCCTTTCTGCTTTAGTTCCTGCCTTGATCTCCTGTTTTAGCTTCCTTCAAGGATGGACTGTAACCTGCTAGCACAGTTGCTCTCATCACAGCAACAGAAATCGTATTAGTACCACTTTCCAGAGATCATGCAAGTCATTCTCCTTGGATCTTCCTCCCTTCTTGGAATCTCCCTGAATAACATTCCTAAGATCCCATGACCCTACTTAATAATCCTAAGCCTATGACTACCGCTTAGCAAGTCTTTGGTTTCTGTTGCTGAGACAGGAGTCTTTGCTTTAGCTAAAGTGGATTCTTTTCAGTTCTTTAACAGTATTGGAATTGGCAGCCCACTGTACCTACCAACAACAGATGATATCTCAGAAGGGTAGACGAGTTCAATCTTTAAATGTTAAATATTACTTTAGTGTGAGAAAAATAGGGAAGAAACTATTTTTTATAAAAACTACTTTATGTCCATATTTTAGCATTTGGTATTGAAATCTGTCCCTGCGGGTTGTCATAGTGCACGCCAGTAAGATTTGCTGAAGGAGCAGAAGCAGGAGGATCAAGAGTTCAAGGCTGGCCATGGCTACATATTTTAGGAAGAAAAAAAGCTGTCCCCTAAAAAATGTCTCAAGTTACTCTAAGATAATATCATTAGAGTGAGCTTTCTTGATTGCACTTGGCATAGACTTAATATTATAGTACTGTTCATCTTGGCCATGTGCTTTGTGCCTATAAATTTCAGGATGTGAGGGATGGGTGGACCTTCACATAAGGAAAACCTGGGCTACATAGCAAATCCTGTCTCAAATCTAAACATAAAGATTTTAATATTGCCTTTTTTCCAGTTGAAATGGAAGGAAGCACAGAAAACTCACAAGAGCTGATTTATATGGAGGCTGCACTCACAGCCAGTTTCTCTGTTCCTATCCAGTCTGTGAATGGCCGTCCTGATGCATCTTGGCATGCTTGGTGTTCTGCCAGCACACAGAATATTCAGGTGCACTCTGGTGACTCTTCTTGGGTGAATATGGGAATAATGCAGAATTTAGCTTCTGGCATTGCTTCGGCCAACTTTGTTCATGCTATAAATAGCCCAATTACATTATGACTTTGGTTGTGCTTTTCTCTAGTATTTTACTATGTAATAATCTTTCCCATAATTTGCCATAACTAATTTTTTCTTTGTTGTTGTTTTTCACTTGCATCTGCAATTAGACTTTGTTGAACATTCTCCTCTTTTTTAACCATCCCTTCTGGGTCTAGAACAATGTTGATTTTACTGAAAGCAGTTTGTGTAGCATCTAATCTATCTGTTGGGAGCAAAGAATAATAGTTTTGGATAATACTAGGCTCAAATGGTATTTTTTTTTGTCACACAACTTTTAGATCTTTCAGTTTCACACTGTGAATCTAAAAGGAGAACAGGGTAAATTGCTGAATTTTCTAAATGGATTCATAAGAGAACTTCTGTATGGCATTATCTCATGACACTTACTTTCTTCCAATAGCATTCTCCATGGCCCTGCAGCTTTCTCAAAATTACATCCAGGACCCACACAAGAAAGAGTTAGCTTTCCCGTGATCATGGCCTTCCTCCATTGTCTTTGCACATCTTATAGAACAATGGCTCTATAGTGTAGCTATTAAGGAAAGGGTCAAATTGGAGAAGTTGGCTCCAAGACTTGAGAAAAGGAAGTTTGTGTGCAAATTTTAGTCTTTGTTTTGTATGTGTGCGTGTGTGCATGCATGCGCACAAATGCATTCACTAGGTCTGCTATGTAGAAGCCAGAGGTGGACACTGAGTGTCTTCCTCTGTCACTTTCCATGTTGTTTTTCAGATAGTCTCTCACTAAGCCTACTTCTCACCATTGCAGCCTGGCCATCTGGCCAGAACAGCCTCCTCCTTCTCCATGCCCAGTGCCAAAGATTCAGATGCATAGGATCACTCCTGTCATTTTCGAGTTGGTATTGGAGGGCCAAACCCGAGTCTTCATGCTTGCACCATAGACATTTACCCAATGAACTATCTCCCCAAAAATTTCACTTAAAATATGAGACATGATGAAAGGCTGATGGTTAAACTATTTAACTGGCTGCAAGTCTTTTACAGAAACTGAGGTATTACATAATTTTATGCACAGTTTATAACAATTAGTGCTTATCGTGTTATCTCTTCATCCTTTATTAAACAATGCCAGTGGCTTCTGAAGCAGTGTCATGATGGAGTTAAGAAAGGGGAGTAATTTTATATTAGAATGACAAAAAGGCTGAGACTAACCTGTACTTGATGACATCTATATAAAAGTGTAAATTGATATTGAGATCAGGCTGTGCCCTGACTTAAGTTACCCCACATTATGTAGAAGACTGTCTTTTCAGACTGGATTTCTCCAGGAGACCCCCTTTTACAAACAGTGCTTGACTCCATTTTAAGGATAGAGGATGACTATTGTATACCATGATGAATATGTGAATGGTACCATCTGTCCTGAACTACCTCCATGACACAGGCTGATAAATGACTTATTCCTGGAAGTAGAATGGGTACAACCATATACATTCCTCAAGGTCAATTAAGACCATAGGGATACATTGACACATGAGGGAAGCCAAGTTCAAGAATATATTAGACACATATGACCAAGGTGCCATCAACATTTGTGACACGGTGATACATTTTTAATCCATCTAGTAATGAATGTGCTATGGTTCAATCTAAGCTGTCAAACTCCTCTGGCACTGACAATAGATATTTCTGAAGACTGTCATTTATTTTCTAGAAAACTCATTGCAAATATATGGAAAGATGGACGTTTTGCAAATACTGTGTTGTCCTCTTTACTATAAAAATGACCTCTATGTCCTTAACAGTCCTGATTCCTCAGATAAATTCATCTCCATTCTCAGGAACTGAAATTTTTACCAAATTAACCAAGGAGTTGATTTACTCGATTTTAAACTGCCCATCCTCTTTTTGAATATATGAAAGATCATTTTTATTCATTTTTCTCAAAAAGGACTAAGATTTCCAAATTTCTATGTTCTTCTAAGCAATCACTTTAATATTGCACCCACATTTTGGGAAACCCATAAAATACCACTACAGTCAGATAAGCAAAAATTATAATTGGTTATTTTAGATTCCATTATATGCTTAAAATTTTAAGATAGAGTGAGCAGCTATTAGACTCACTCTGTAAAAATGTTTGTAGAATTATAACTGATTTCTGTGTACTGGCCTAGCTTCAATGCCAACCATTAGCTGTCTAAATTTTTGCCTTACAGCAACAATGCATGATTTATTTTTGATGTCTTAATGCACTTGATTGGCAATTGAGCTCTGACTTCATGTTGACTTCATTACAAAAATGTATTTCTTTTCTGCTCTATCTTTATTTCAGCTCTGTTTGGTGGGGTTTTTTACGTCTCTTTCTCTCTGTGGGCATTCTAATCAATTTGATAATTCTTAAAGTTACTTCCCACAGTTCATAGCTTCAGGGGCAAGTAAACTTCAATAAACCATTCATTAAAGGGGCAAAGTAGTCAGTGGCAGCAGTTAACAAAAAACAAATGGGCAACCATTGCACTGTTACTGACTTTATGAATCAGACCAGTGAGATGAGGGTCAGGGCAACAAAGTGTAGCTCAGTGACCAGAGCTGGTGCTATCCACATCTATACGGAGAGCCTATCTTAACACATACTTCTTGCTCTGGAAATTTTTCTTTCAGATGCTCGGGCATTCTCAGAATTTGTGGAGAAAATTTAAAACAGAAAGTATTCACAGAGATGCAGAAAATCCTCTAGGCCATTCAAATAAACTCCGAGAACAAACTGCATGACTTGTGTTGTAAGGTCGCTGTTGCCATCACATTAATAAATCCAACCCTTCTTTCTTGGCAGAGTATGTGAACTCCCTACCTACACTCAGGAGTAAACTGTTTATCAGAAGAGTTGATGCTATGAGAGTATTCTGATAAAAATAAGGAGAAAATATATAGGTTGTATATTTGAACCTGCCCATTTGTATTGTGGGTAGGGTAGGCAAGGAATTGCCTAGAATACAGAATACACAATGGTTAAGAAAGACTGTGAGAACAGAGAGAGAAGAGAGAGGAGAGGTGGGTCTAGGCCTATGACCATTTCAGCCTAACAGCCCTCCAAAATGTTAAGCATGATAGCCATGGCAGAACTACCAGCAGAAAAAAAAAAAAAAAAGTAAATCCAAAACTGGAAAGATATGACATTCTCAGAGAATCTTAGTGTCAAAAATTAATTGAAGAATGTTTATCCATTAGTAGATCTCTGTTTTATTTACCCAAAATGAAATATGGATATAACATATGCCATCTCCCAAAGCTGCTGAATGAAATATGCCCAAAAATCTACTTAAGAAATTTAAAAGCTGCTAAGTCGTTTCTTATTTATTAGTCTCACAGTCTGACACTACATATCTCCAACTGGAGGAAACTGAAAACCTGACACCAAGGTGCCAGACTGGAAGGCATATGGTAATTTCCATTGACTAATGCCTGGCTGCTGGCAAGTAGTGAAAACTCTTTCTGGGACCACCTTATACCTTGATGAATAAAGCTA